CTCCTCCTCCCACCCCCCGTGGCTCTGGAATTCCTGGTGGAACCTACTCCCCCGCCCGCCCTGCATCCCAGGGCGCGGAAGCCCGCGGAGCGTGCGGCCCGGGTGCGGGGTGCGCCCAAGGGCAAGTGGCTTGTGGCGGCTGTGGCCGTGTCTAGACTTAGCTGCGGTGTTTTCACGTGCACGCGTGTGTGCTTCTGCATCCGACTGTGTTTATACACCGGTGTATAATTTTTTGTGCACACACGCGCAGTGACACTTGGGGAAACTTTTCTGAAAATCCTGGGCTGGCAGTTTAAATATAAAAAGGCTTTTGTTTAATGCCAGAAGCATTTCCCCTATGCTCTGGGACTCAAGGAATACTCACCTGCTTCCCCCTCCCCTCAAAGACCTGGTGGCAAAGGCTTTCTTCGTGGAGTGGTAGACTGAGGTTTCCTTGCATTGAGGAAAAAGTTATTTTGAGGTCCACCCCATGCCCCTAACCCTCCATACCCCTCCACCAAAAAAGCTTTCTGGGGACCCCAAGCTCCCTAGCCTGTCTCTCTCCTGGGGCTGTTTAACTCTGAATTTTACCCCCTCAAGTGTCTGCGAGTGCTAAAATGATGCCAGCATCACTCCGGCTGTAGAATTCAAGTTGAAATGTGGCCAGCACGTGGGGATGGCTGAGGAGCAGTGCCCTGGGGTTGGAGGGTGTTTGGAGAAGGTGAGCAAGGCCAAGAAATTGAGGGCCAGGGGAACAAAGTAAGGACCTTCAGGGTGAGCACACCCCCTCCAAGTGGAGATGCTAACACCTGTCTCATACAGTTTGGAGTTTAATTCCTTTATTGTACATTTAGTGGCTACACCTTTCTTTGTACAGTCAGTAGGTACAAAGACAACTGTAGATTAGTTTGTTGGGGTGGGTGCAGGAGGAGAGATAGAATAGTGCAGAAGGACATATACTCTGGATTCTAGATTCAAATCCTGACCCCACAACTGTCCAACTTACCCGTTTCTGTGTGCCTCTTTCCTTCCCTGTAAAGTGCAGCCAATAGTGGTGACACACCTTCCAGGGTTATTATGAGGATGAAATGAGTTAATTTACATAAGCACTAGAACAGTCCTGGCACATGTATGTGCTGTGTGAGTCTCAGTTTTTATTATTTAGATCAGGGTTGGCACCACTGGTTTTACATGGCCCTCCCTCGAGCTAAGAATGGTGTGTGTACATTTTTAAATGTATGAGGAGAGGGGAACACAAAAGAAGACTAATATTTCAGGAGGCATGCAAATTCTATAGCATTTAAATTTCAGTGTCCATAACTAAAGTTTTATTGGAACACAGCCACACTCATTCATTTTCATATTATCTATGGCTGCTTTCACACTACAAAGTAGTTCAGTAGTTGTGAGTTGTGACAATGACAGGTGCAGGGATTTTTGCCTGTTTGATCATTAGTGTGCCCAGTGCCCAGAACATAATAGATGCCTAATAAGTTGCATGATTGAGTTTGGCCCAGGCAATCGTGGGTGGCAGGGACTACAATGCTCCTAAACTTGGCACAGGGGTCCATCATAATTTAAGCAGATGTTCCCTTGGAGATCAGAAGGGGCAGTTGTTCCTCCCCCACAGTACACACACCTTCTCAAGGGGGAACCAAGGAATCCGACTGGCTGCTGGGAAAAAACTGCTGCCCACGTTAGCCTTACTTTAGGAAAGGCACTCACACAGATGGTTTGTGTGTGCTCTTTTCTATCCAGCCAAACCACATGAGCAAGCCCCCAGGGAGAGGCAATTTGGGGTCATCGCTGGGAGGGTCCCCTTCCCTCCTACTGTGGCCCACTTAGGCAGGAGTGTGAGAATGGCTTCCCGGAGAGGAGAACTTGACCTTCCTGGGCCTCGTGGCAAAGGAGTTGTGAGGATGGACCTTTGTCCCCTGGGAGGAAAGAGGAGAGAGGAGGCAACCGAGGCCCAGCTCTTTGGGAGCACTTAGTATGAGATTCCACTTGGCCTTGCCAAGAGGCTCTCCAAAAGTCCAGGTGAAAAGTTCCTGTGACAGTCAGCTGGGAGAAATAAACAAATAACCCAGCGTGATAACATGCACAGGTCCTCCTGTTGGGAGGGCACACCTGCCTGCCCAGGTGACCCGGCCCAAGGGCTCCATATGGCGTCTCCCAGGGCTGGCAGAGGCTCCTTCCATCATTCAGTGTTTCCTGAAGTCCTACTGTGTGCTAGGCGTTGGTGATGTTGCCAGGAATAAGATACAGGCCTTCCTAGGTGGTGCTCACAGAATTCTAGGAACATAAATAATTATGATGCATTGAGAGAAGTAGGTGAATCCCAGGGCCCCACAAAAGGGGTAAGGATACAACAAGACATTTCACAGATGAGGAAACCAAGATGGCCAAAAACACATGCAAAAAAACTCTGACTCCTGAACTAGAAAAATGCAAACTAGAACCCCATGAAATGCCTTTGTATGCCCATCAGATGAGCAAAAATAAAAATGGGTGATGTCACTTAATGGTTGATAAGGGGTTGGTGGGAGGCAGAATCCTACATAGGTGGTAGAAATATGAATTGTTGCAAGATTTTGAAGAAAAAGAAAATTGGCAATATGTATTAAAATGTAAACAAAACAAAACAAAAATAGCCTCTGTCCAGCAGCCACACTCCTGAGATTCCATTCTGAGACTTAAAGATAAACATACGAGGATATTTATTGAAGTGTTTTTTGAAGTGATAAAAACTTGGTAACGTTTACTTCCAAGATGAAAGGTTAAAATTGCGATATGTCTATATATATGATATTATGTGACCATGAAATAGAATGAGTTGGCTTTACTCAAAGTACCCTGGAGTGCTTCCATGATACATGATCAAGTGAGGAGGACCAGAGATGCACAAATGTCTGCTGTCTATAATACGATGCATCTTTTAACACTAATACCAGCCCTGCCCCTTCCTGTATATGTACTTTTTGTTTGTACATGACAGTGAGCATAGAGAATCCTTCTGGAAGTCTACACG